GGGAGCTTAAGTGGAGAGAAAATGTTTTGAGAATGATGAGGGCAATGAATGTACAAATATGCTTTACACAATTGATGTACGTATGGATTGTGATGAGTTGTATGAGCCCCTAATAAAACGATTAAAAAAAAGAAAAATAAACATATGCAGAATGAATTAACAGAACCAAATGACCTCTGCAATATCTTGTAATTTCCTAGTTTTCATAATAAAATTTCTGAAGCAAAAAAAAAAAACCTATCATTTTTTCCCCTGAGACAATGCAGATACTGTCCGCATTCTAAAATGATTAGCCACCCGACTGCACCCTTGGATTTGGGACTGGGGTACTCAGATGAGAGAGGAAGCAGAGAGTGACCAGTCCAGGAGTGTGAAAGTGGTGGTCAGTGGACCTTAGGGGGAACCTCATGCTTCAAAGTACCATTGAAATAGACAGCTCCTAGCAGCACATTTAAGCAGAACTGTCACAAGAACACTTATCCTTGAGGGCATCTTCCCTGCCCCCTCTGACCAGCCCCTGAGAGGCTGGTAATCTGTTTTAACATTACAACAGAAAGCAAGTTTTTAAGTGCCCTTAGGGCAATTCTTGTTTAAACTACCCCTCTCTCTCCTTATCAAGAGAGGAAATCTTTCTCCCAGGGACAGGAGTGCTCATTTCCCACCCCCATTAGGAGGGCAAACTGGAAATGAAATCCAGGAATGGGGTCATAAAACAAGGCGCCAGAAACTTTACCTAAATATACTTTTGTTTTACTTCTGGCAATACAGCTTAGTGGTATGTGTTTTAACTTGCTTTTTCTTCTGCTTTCTGTATTCTACCCTCCCTGAATAATATAAAAGAGGTTTGTCCAGGGAAGACAAGCACTGCAGCCTGGTGGAAAGTTCCTTTTGAACATCCCCACTGCAGTCTGGGTTAACCTGATTTAAAAAAAAACAAAATAAAGACTTCAATAATTCAAATTGGACATTGCAGTAGCCTTCTTTTATATCAACACCTTGACTCCCCCTCGCAGTAACATGACAGGTTTCTTTTATATCACTTCATTGTAGTGATCTTCTTTTATATCAACATCTTGATACCCCAGGAAGTTCCCCCTAAGCACCAATCCCCATATTTAGAGTACACAGAGCTCAATCAAATGGGAGACTAAACAGTGTAGGGCAACAACTCATCCTGACAGTGTCCAGAGAGTGTGTCATTGGGAAAATTGATGACGTTATCAGTGCAATTGCCTTATATACCCCAGGGGGACAACTGACAATGTTGTATTTTTTTGTTTCTATGGGTTTTTGTTCTCCTGCCTTTAAATTGTTGGCTTGTCTGTTTATGTATTTATTTTGCTGGTTGGTTTGTTATTGTTGTTGTTAGAGTTGGTCTTATGGGGTTTTGACTTTGTCATAATATGACCGCCAAAGTAAACCTGAGTCGTGCATAACCCACGGACAAGCAGATGGCTTCTGGACTCCTACTTAACTCTAGCCCCAATCCAAGAACAGTTAGTTCTGATAGCATGGCCCAGCTCAATACTCACATTCAGGAAATGATCACTGACGATAAGGGTGCTACAGCAAAGTGTGGTGAAGAAAGCAGATGGTGCCTGGCTGTCAATTGAAATAGTGTCTGCAGTTTTAAATGCTCGTATTCAAACAAGCGGTCATCTGAGTGAGGAGTCAATTAATTCCACATAGAATAAACACACCAGTTTGTGTGATCCAAAGATGACAATAATGATGAAGGGAAAAGTATCAGAGCTTAAATGGTGAATACCCAATTGGTAGAAGGCTACTGAGGGGAGTGGGAGCCCAAAACCCATCTGCAGAGTAGCTACTCAGATTAAGTTGCTGGCAGATCCCCTCTAGCCACAGGCAAGGGTCTTGAACAGCTTTACTATCAGACAGTGATCAGTGTAATTTGATTATGCTGGATGGAATTTGATACTTGGCCAGTTGACCTCCCTCTTGACCCAACCTGAATTTGTTCTAGGTGCAAATATTTCTTGCTTGTTCCATGACAAAAATCTCTTCCCTGGCTTTTAAAATATTGACGGTGGTTTTTTCTTTCCTATTTATTGTTTGCATTATCTTTATATTATTATTATTTTATCCATACCACTTTACTTTGTTTCTGTTTTTTACTGTTTCTGTTGGGTTTTCCAGTTTGTGAAGCACAGAAGGAGTATATGCATAGAGATAATAACTGATGCAAGAGTCTATAGGGTATGTAGGGGTGGGGTCTGGGAGATAGGGAGGGTAAGGAGATTTGGGGAGCAAACAATGTATGTAGGAAGGGTGAGGGAGCACTAGAACTGACTGTGATTTTACAACTCATTTTAAAAGTGATTAAACCATGAAAAAAAAAGTTATAAAATTGATTGTGGTAATGATGGTACTTTCTTCTTGATATGATTATCTATCAAATTATATAATATGTGGATTATATACAAATAAACTGTAAACAAATAAATAACCATATAGGAAAGAAACACATGTAAAGCATGATTCCTAACACCCCAGGCTTGCTGAACTGCTTCGAGGCAATGTGGTATAGTAACAATGGCTGTGGGATTTGGAGTTGCCCTGAGCTGTGCCTGGATCTGCACTTTAATACTGAAGTGCCACAGGAAGTCACCCAGCCTCTTTGGGCCCAAGCTTCTTGATATATTATTTTTTAATAAATTATTTTATTGGGGGCTCTTACAGCTCATACATAATCCAAATTGTATCGAGTAGAATTTGCGCAAAGACAGTGTACGTAGGAAGGGAGAGGGAGTACTAGACTGATTGTGTTGCCATCATCGTGTCCAAAACATTTATTTTTTAAGTGAGGATAATTTTCATCTCAAAGGACTGTTGCTCTGCTCTGCTCCGGTTTGCCCTGACTAAAGCAAACTCTGTCCTGTGGCTGTGAAAGTGACTGAAAATGTTTGCAACGTAGGTAACTGAGACACGATTCCCATCCCTACCTTGATAGCTTTTCACAGGCGTCATCTTGTTGTAATCTTCTGACAAAATAAACTCCTGCAAGACAAAACAATTATTAAGCAAAATGCGGTTTCAATGAATAACTGTTTTAGGAAAGCCAGACTGTATACAGCAACTATCAAAGAATTCTATTTTGCCAATCAAGTCAGTAATTTTATACCTCTGTGGCGGCACTATGGGTAAAGTGTTGTGGGTTAGGGGCCGGGTTGGTGGTTAAACCCATGCACGAGCTGCTCTGTGGGAGGAACATGTCCCTGTCTGCCCCATAAAGATAAAGTCTTGCAAACCGTAATAAGTTCTACTCTGTCCCAGTGAGTGATTACGAATCAGACTCAACTCTCAGTCACTGGGCTTTTGGTTTTTAAAAGTAGCTATCATAAACATGATAAAATGCAATAACCATGAAAAATGCAATTACCATAAATTTTTCCTTATAACTCTTCAATTGGCTAATGCATGAGAGAGAACGAGAGGAGAGACCGAGAGAGTGGGAAAGAGGAAAAGGGAGGGAGAATGGTGAGGGCGGTATCTCTACCTGTGTGACTAGCAAGTCGGGATGGGAGGAGACCCCAAGGTGAGTCCCAGAGAGGGAAAGAGAATGCACATAAAAGCTGGTGAGCTGGCACCAGGGGACTGTACATCCTCTGTAAGAACTGGAGGAGGCCTCTGAATCTAAGCGCGGGCTTCCAGGTCAGGGGCAAGGGGACAGAGGGGGAGCCAAAGAAGAGAAAAGAAAACAGGAAAAGTGTGCTGGCATGAAGCTCCAGAGCATCTTGGAAACGTCGGTCTATTCTGTGCTCAGTTCTCAAAAATGTAAACTCTAATATAATACATACTTATCAACTTCATTATTTCTATTCACTGCATTGTATTCCAACTTAAGAATGTACTATTAATGTTTTTCAGTACTGGTTATAATTTTCCAGTTTTTATTTTAAAAAAGCAGAAAACATTTTGTACCTTTAAATACCTATAGCTGTACTTCTACAAAAATAAAGCTCTAGATGTAGAACAGTTGGATAGAAAGGTATGATTGGTAGGCAGACATTTTACAGAAGACGGAGTTGACAGCCCAAAGGGCCATCAATCAGCATGGAATTTTTAGCCACATCCATAAGTAAAAGGGTCCTTCCTAAGAGATCAGGCACACATTAGAAGGCTATAGAAGAGACAAGCATAGTCGGGGCTAGTTACGTGTCATACACACATACACATACACACACACACACAATCTCACACTTATGCATGCCCACTTACAGCCCAGTAGGGACCAGTTATGTTACAGGTCACACGTATACTTTGAGAGCACAATTACTAAAAGCCCTCTCACACACACACACACACACACACACACACACACACACACACACACGCTCACCAGGTGTATGTGGGAGAAGATCAGTCAGGGTGTGGGACAAATAAAGTGAAAGTACAGCCTCACTCATTTCATTTTTGGTTGATCTCAAAGAATGGTTCCCTCTCCTGGACTCAGTGCTGGTCTCTACTGCTAGTAGATGGGGCACTCAACACTGGCAGTAGCCCAGTCAGCTTTCCATTCTTGCCACCATGGGCACTTTGTTCATGTGCTCATTGGGCAATAACAAGAGTGGCTCCTAGCCCTTTATTATTAAAGTCCTCCTTGGCAGAGGTAAGACTCTGGTGAGCATTCACATGAGAATTATCTTCACTTTTTTGGCCCATTCAGAGAAGTCTATCCAGATACCTCTTCCCCACACCCTCCGTCACTGATCTTCCAACCACGCTTCTTCTAAGTCCCTGTCCATCCATCCAAATCATTGAATCAGTAGACAGTCGCATATTCCATCACTTCTCCTTCCAAGAAAGCTAAATAACCAGGTGTTCTGCCCATTGGGAAGATTTCCCTTCACACTGTCTTTCAGAGAGGTCCCAGAGGTGATGTAGTACTGCTGCTGTCCACTTTCAAGGGATACCTGCAAACTGTGCAAAAGCAGCAGTAAAGCAAGCACAAGTTTCCTGCTCCTCAATCAACTGATCATAAGAAATTCCCCATGAGGCCATAGGGGCAGACTGGGGGAAAGAGTCCTTTGACAGGACTGGAGACCAGAGTTCTTCAGGCAGCTAGGAGCTATGGTGGCATAGTGGTTACATGTTGGGCTGCAGTTTGAAACCACCAGAGGTACTTCAGGAGAAAAGTGTGGCTTTCTATTCTTGTAGAGTTAAAGTTTCAGAAACCCACAGGGGCAGTTCTACCCTGTCCTGTAGGGTTGGTACAAGTCTGACTGGATTCAATGGTTATGAGTTTGGATTGGACTCTTTCATGCAGCAAAAAGGTATCTGCCTCAGGCAATGCTCCAGGTGCCAGATCAAAATCCACAGCTAATCTATTCATATGGGTGTGTGTGTGGGGGGGTGGGGTAGAGAATGGAGACATTTTACTCAGAGTGGCTTGATCTCTTCAGATGGGAGGGCTGTTGCTGGTGACCAGGGTGACTCAGTGAATTTAAGGGCTCAAAGACCCCATCTTCCAGACTGCTGTTATTGTTGGGTGCTATCCGGTCGGTTTTGACTCCGAGTGATCCTGGGTACAACAGAACAAAAACCCGTCCAGTCCTGGGCCATCTTTACAATTGTTCTAATTTTCAGCCCAGCTGTGTGCAGTCACTGGGTCAATCCATAGTGTTGACGACCATTCTTTTTGACTGCTCCTTTACTTTACCAAGTATAACGTCCTTCTCCAGGAACCAGATTCTTCTGATAACATGTCCAAAGTAAGTGAGATGAAGTTTCGCCATCCTCGCCTCTAAGGAGCATTCTGCCTTTATTTCTTTCAAGACAGATCTGTTTTTTCTTTTGGTAGTCCATGGTACTTCCAATATTCTTCACTAGCACTACAATTCAAATGCATCATTTCTTCTTTAGTCTTTCTTATTCAATGTCCAACTTTTACATGCATATGAAGTAATATGTAATACCATGGCTTGGGTCTGGTGCACCTCAATCCTCAATGTAACATTCTTGCTTTTCAACACTTAAAGGGGGTCTTTTGCAGCAGAGGTACTCAATGCAATACATCATTTGATCTCTTAGCTGCTGTTTCCATGAGTATCGACTGTGGACCCACGCAAGACAAAAATCCTTGACAACTTCAATGTTCTCTCCATTTGCCATAATGTTACCTACGGCTCCAGTTGTGAGGATTTTGGTTTTCTTTACATTGAGTTGTAATTCATACTAAAGGTTATAATCCTTGATCTTCATCAGCAAGTGCTTCAAGTCCTCCTCACTTTCAGCAAGCAACTTGTGTCATCTGCCTATCACAGGTTGATAATAAGCTTTCCTACCATCCTGATGGTGTATTCTTCTTCATATAATCCAATTTCTCTGATGAGCTGCTCAGTATACAGATTAAATAAGTATGGTGAGACACTGAAAACCTGACTCACACCTTTTCTGATTTTAAACCATGCAGTATAACCTTGCATTGTTTGCACAACTGCCTGTTGCTCTTCCTACAGATTCCTCATGAGCACAATGAAGTGTTCTGGGATTCCAATTCTTCTCAAGGGTATCCATAGTTTGTTATGGTCCACACAATTGAATGCTTTCATAGTCAAAACACAAGTAACCATCTTTCTGGTATTGAGCCAAGATCCATCTGACATCAGCATCAATAACACTTGTTCCACGTCCTTGTCTGAATTAAGCCTGAACCTCTGACAGATCTCTGTCAATGTCCTGCTGTAACCGTTGTTAGATCATCTTCAGCAAAATTTTATTTGCATGTGATATTAATGATATTATTCTATAGTTTGAGCATTCTGTTGGATTCTCCCACATGATCAACCCATATATCCCATCTCATGTTGTAAGATCCCATTTCTTTCCAATCAATGCCTTCATTTTAAATGAGACACCTTTCTAGGTTGATAATTAAGTGGGCCTTTTCAGCCATAAGAGTACTGTTATAGAAGAGAAGAGGCATTCTTATATGGTAAAAGTAGAAGCTTTGAGGTCTTTTATGTGACATTTGAGTTGGCCTTCCAAAGCTCTGAGTTCATCTATTTCCTTTTTCAGTTTATCTATTGTAAGTAGTACTAATCAACTTCCCTATAATCTCAGCCTGACAAAACTTTGGATGGATATCAAACACAGATCACGTAGATCACTTCTTGCCAACACTTCATCTATCAGTGGTGCTATTTTGGGGTATTAACTTTGGCACCATGGATTAAAAATGCTCTCTTTAACTAATAGTGACTGTGATCGTTACATAATATGGTGTCAATTTGAGGATTCAGAGTGAATGAAGTGGACGCTAGCCTGTCAATCAGGTTGACGACCTCATTTGGAGGTGCTTTCTGGAGATGGAACACACGCTCACTCCCTGCGAGACATTGCAGCTGACAAGACATATGGAATATACTAGTGCCCTGAGCTGGAAGAGACATGTGGAGACCCCTGCTAGTGCTGAGATGCTTACAATGCCACTGGATCCACAAGACTTCCCACCCACTGGCCTGTGATCTTCCTGCATTTGGCATATTGCATGCGTTTCATGAGTCTGAAGAGGACTTTATAGACAGGTTTTGGACATACAGGTTAATATCAGACTTATGGACTTGATCTGGACTGGGCTGGGATGTTTTCTCCATATTCAACTGTTCTTGTATATACAGCTCTTTCCTATACACATGACTATGAATTTCTCTAGTCTACCTGAACTAACACAGTTACAGACTTAGCTGTACTAAGCTGTCCCAAATTCCCAGTACCTTCAGGCCTAATCAGGTTGAAAACCGCATCTCCTTAGGAACAAAGCACATTTCTTCCTGAGTCACTATCTGGGTTTGACCTTTCAGGACTTGCTGTGACTTCAGTCAAAGGTCCAGAATTTAGAAAACCCATCTTTATAATTTTATTTCTCTAGAACCACTCCTGTACCAAATGTGTTAGGTGGGGTTCTTTGGAGACACAAAACCAGTGAGGCTGGCATGCATATTTATATAGAAAAGATTTATATCAAGAAATGGCTCACATAGTTATAGAAGCGGCTA